AGAACAATTGTATTATGTAAGTTAGTTTTATACAAAATTTACCTGACTATTTGTTGGGATATACAAAATTTACCTTGATCATTGTTGGGATGGGAATGCGCTTGAGTGGCCATTTTCCCGTCAATGCCTCATCACCGAGGTGCTCAAACATCCCGCTCTCGCATAACAGTGCGGAAACAACACGAACAGTGGCTCTAACTCAGCCTCCAACTGCTTGTCTCGACAAATTGTTGGGTTGCAGTCAAGGATCTTCAACAACCTCTCCTCTAGACCACGACGACTGCTATCCAGTGCATTTCCTTGACCAGGATGATGCAGTAGACACTTTTAACCTTTGCCTAACTGTGGCCATATTTGGGCCTGTCCCTCATTACATACTGCATCATCTTGTCATCAAACTTAAATCATTAGAGACCAGTCCAAGTCTTCTGTGCTCGATCGTTTTCGCTTGGCTCCTTTTGCTACAGATACCAATGGCCTTTTTCATAAAATTGCGATATGTCGATACCAGTGTTTGGCCAAAGGCCACATCAGTGATGGCACAATCAGGATACAGTAGATCACCATTGCTGGTTTGTCGCAACCTCATCAGTTCTAATACCTCATCGATGTGCTGCACAAATAAAAACAACATGATAATAAATACCTCATGGAAAACATAAGCAAAAATAAGGAAAATTAAGCGAAAATAACTCACCGAGTCGTGAAGCCAGCTGCCCATCGTTAAATCTTTTCAAACCAATCCGAGAATAATCCCCGGTCTTACACTTTACAAGGGCTTCACTTCCGGATTCATTGTAATAGGCATAGAAGGTTTTTTCTTTTCCTCCTCTATTGGCCTATACAAATCGACAATGACTCCATTTTTGCTTGCCCGCTTCCTCCCGCTTCCTCCATTTGTACATCCCCGCTTCCTTCGCCTCCCGCCTCAACCTCCTCCATTATAACTGCCCCACTTCCTCCAGAAACCTCTTTAACCCCCTCAATTTTGGCTTATTCCTCAATTTGTTTCTTTGTTTTCCTCTTAATTCCACGTGTTGTATGGTGTAAGGCGATTTCATAAACGCTCTTTCGGCTCTCTCTTTTCAGCCAAGGTTGCACTTCAACCGCCTTCAATACTCCACAACTTCCTCCTCCACCCTAACAACTTTCTCTGCCACCTTATCCACTTTCTCCTCCACCCTTTTCAACTGCTCTTCCATCTTATAAACAAACTGTTTATGAGGTCAACCACCTCACTCTCCTGACCCCGATGCCTCGACAAAGCGGTAGCTTGTTGTACCAGTTTGCTGAGGCATACGAACCTCTTCCTCCCTCCCCTCCTCCTACCTCCCACCGATTGCGGTTTCATCTTCCTCAGCACAACCAAATTCTCAAGCAGTGGCCCTGCAATTGCCCTCACATGTGTGACCCCTTGTAGGTCCTGCGTCAGGCGGTCTATCCCTTCATCCCTTTGATCCTCTAGTGCTCAGAAAGATGTGACATAGTGCTGTTGCGCTTCACCCCCAATAGCGGTGAGGAAGGGACGGACAATTCCCTGCAATAAGAAACAAAATCAATCAGATTAAGCGATATTTTAAAGCAAGTGCATATTCAAAAGCTTAATCCTTTAATCTTACCCGAGCTGATTGAATTTCAATCTCTATTTGCTCATAATCCGATGGGTACACTTCTGGTCATGCCACCGCAACTCCTAGGAAATGTCTGTTGCACAACCGAAGCCCTAATCCTCCCCCCTGCCTTAGCCAGGACAGGGATGGCCTCATACATCCAAGCCTACATTGTAAAAAACAGTCCATATCATAATTCAAACACATTATAAAAAAAAAATATAACAAAAGCTATTAATATTTACCTGCATTGCCCATGGGAAAAACAAATTGTACGTTGCCGATCTATTCTTCTCGGCCCATTGGGGGTGTTTAACGCCAGGTTTTTGCTTGTAGGGACTCCATGGTTCGCTTAAATGATACCCGTCCTCACGGTAAGCATTAAAGAAGCTCAAGTTGCTTACAAACTTCACCCAATCAATATCAACGGCTTTTGTTGAGTCACTAGCCATGGGATCGAATGTAAGAACAATACAAGCATAGTTTAAACGTTTCTGAATCGTTAAACTCACCATCTTTTAACCTGTCCTCTAATTCCTGTGCCTTAATAGACTTGTTCCCAGCCAAAACCTTGTTAGCCAACCTTTTGGCTCCCGTACTGTCCGTATTCTTTTTTCCTCAACCTCACCTGGTAATTCCCCACATCTTAAACCAGTCACCAACGCATATTCCATATCCCGAAACGTAGTGGCTTTCCATCCAACATGAACCACATTCGTGCATTTTGTGCTTTTTATTGAGTGCAGCAACATATAATGCACTCCCGACCCCAGAATGTCTTTTTCCATTTTGTGTCCATATCCTAAAAATGACTGAAACAAGTCTCTTTGAATCTCCTTTCACCATTCCTCACTGTCCTTAAAATCCTCGTTGTTCTCGTTAAACAATCCCAACTTAACCTCACTGTCACCCTCACGGGAAGTACGGTACCGTATCACTTACAACCTCCAATCCGTACTCTCTATAGTTTACGTTCCGAAAAATCTGCACAATCAATATAAACAAAATTCAGCAAAAAAATTACACCATATCAAATATAAACAAAATACGCTTCGGAAGAATTGCTTAAGCGATGGGCAGATGATTCTGCCTATACAAGCAATTTTAGATCGCTTAAGAGTAAAAGCGACGAATCGTTTAAGCGATATAGAATATCGCTTAAGCGATTCGTCGCTTTTACTCTTGGTCACTTAACGTTTAAGATCGCTTAAGCGATCTCTTCCGAGGCAGAATCAACATCTGCCCAATTAAGATCGCTAAGCGATTTCTATATCGCTTAAGCGATTCGACACTTTTACTCTTAAGATGAAAATCGTTTAAGCGATACAAATGGTCACTTAAGCGATTACAGATCTGGGCAGATTTGGTTCTGCCTCGGAAGAGATTGCTTAAGCGATCTTAAATCGCTTAGCGACCAAGAGTAAAAGCAATCGCTTAAGCGATTATAGATCGCTTAAGAGATCTTGTACGAGGTAGAATCAACATCTGCCAGATCTAAGATTGCTTAAGCGATGTTTTATATCGCTTAAGCGATTCATTGCTTTTACTCTTAAGCAATCCTAAATAGCTTAAGCGACCAAGAGTAAAAGCCATCAATCGCTTAAGCGATACAAAGGATCGCTAAGCGTTCTTAGGTCTTGGCAAGTACAAATACCTTTTCTTCGGCAGCCTCTTCCTCTTTGGCGGCCTTCTCCTCCGCAGCCTTCTCCTCCTCGTCTGAACTCTCGCCAGACTCCTCTTCCTGGCCTGAATTCTACTGGGCCTCCTCTTCCTCTTCAGAACCGTTTTGCTCCTGTTCTCTCTTGTTGTGCCGCCGTTGTCTCCGCTGCTGGAACACTTTCACTGATCGGAGGATCCACGGAGCAACCATTGAACTGCTTGCATGGCCGGACTCTATGATTCGAAGAGGCGTTGGGTTTTCCTCCTCATTGTGATTATCAGCCATGGTTTTAAGAAAGGAAGAAGCTTTAGGATTGAATTTGGGTGTGAAAATTTGTAGGAATGTGGACTGTTATCGTCGAAAATTGCATAGAATGCGTTTAGGGATTGAAGATATCGATTTTTGCCTTAATTGGTTTCGATTAAGCGATTTGAATGGGTGGGGCTCTTTTTCAAATTTTAAATTTTAAAACTTTCATATTAATAATGATTTTGTCCTTATATGTTTAATCTTTTCATTTTAACCTATTTTACATGTTTAATGGATCCTAACTATGCCACGTCAGCTGATGAAAAACAGTTTCAAGACCATTTTCTTAAATCGAAGCTTGGGATGGCTGGTCAGCTAAATTTTCTCTTATTATAACCGGTTAATCGAAACCAATATTTTTAAATTCCCAAATGGCCAAATAGACTAAAACACCATACCTAACTTTACCCTAAGCCATTTTCAATTTTTCATTTTGCATGCTGCTGCTGCGCTACGCCACTGCCGACGAATGCCAAGATCTTTGCTTTCACACTCATGTTTATCTTTTCTTCTTCGAAACACTCTCTACTCTTATCAATATCCTTCGATTATTAGGGTCTCATTGTCCTCCAAAACACGTTCTTTCTAAACCCACCTCCTTCAAGACTAATGAACACAGTCTCTCACAAAGTATACTAAATCTCGAGTCTTCTACATATAAATTTGTTGACAAACAAGTAACATTTTGTCCCATTTTCTCTCTTTGGTTCCAGTTTGTCTTCTTCCTTTTGTTTACTTTAACTTTCTTCAACTTGAGTGTATAGACACCGTTTGTTTGTTTTCCGGTTAAGCTTTTCCGTCACACGTGGGTGTTCATTTTCTCCAAGAAATATTTTCTTGGAAAGTTAATCTTGGCCCTTTCCTTTCTCTCTCTCTCTCTTCTCTTTTTTTTTTTTTTTTTTGGTTTTTAATTTTTACTATAAAATAATAAAACAACACATTCATCTTTGACTGGGTGGTTGGTTGCCAGTTCATACTTGTAAATTTAGCAGCTTTTTAATCTTCAATGCAAATGGGTCTGCAATATCAGCTTTTTAGTCTACTTATCTCTATCTCTGAAAGTGATTTGACTGCCTGCATTATTGATCTCTCTGGCCTATTTGTGTCCATGAGCTTAAAAAAACTTTGAATTTCAATAGCAAATAAATTTGTTTTTAAAAACCGGCTCAAAGTCGGTGAACCGGTTATTCGTTCCGTTTAAAATCAATTCAAACATTAATTCGATTGGTTTCAGTTTAGATTTTTTTTTTTTGAACCAGTTTTCAGTTCGGTTTGAATATTAAGAAACTTTGGTTGGGGCATGACGAGATAGTCTTTTTTTGTATTTTCTTAATGACATTGGTTAGCATAGAATTGAAGTGTTGATTATGGTAAAAATAAAATCATAAGCATCTGTACTGTATGTTACAAATTCTAAATAATTGTTTTATTTTTTAGAATTAAAAAAAAAAAAAAAGGAATATTTCAATGCAAATTAAGACATTCAACCATTTTTGCAATATTGGCTTGGAATAAACGAGAACCTACTTAAAAGGCCTTAATTAGTACCTGAAAAATGGCCAAATGGCGTCAGTGTGACTAAAACAACAGGGAAGAAAAACAAAATCTACTTTGAAGCACGACCGTTGGGGGAACAAATTCATTGGCCTAAATCATTCTCTTGGGAACGAGTCTGTCGTCCTCCCCATTTCTTTATCTTATTTTCAGCGATAGTAGCCTGCATTTAACACCGGATCATATCAGTTTCAACGCTCAATGAACGAGAAAGGTGATAATGGCTTAGCTTATTAATATTTACCTCTTCGCTCCAGTTAACTTTATAAATCAAACCGAAAAGGATACAAGTCTGTATGGCGGTCCCTGACATCATCCCTATCCAGATCCCCTGAATGAATTATCATATACCAAAATCATTAGATCAATTAGATTTTTATTTTGTTCATTAATTGAAATGGGGGTTTCGTTACCCTGACACCCATGTCCAACTTGTATCCCAATATCAGACCTAAAGGAATCCCGATGATATAGTAACATCCAATGTTAACGTACGCTACAGTGGCTTGCCATCCAGCTCCCACGGCAACCCCTTCCAGGATCATCAAGTAATTTTAAACTGTTACTTACGAAATTATTATGTCCACCTGAGGAACAGTAGAGAAGAAATTAGTATTCACCAGAGAGAACAGGTTGAACATTGTTAATAATAATGCAGAGAGCCAACAATGGTGTTAGCTCCTTGACAAGCTCTTGGACATCTGTGTCGCTTGAGAACAAGGCTGGGAAGTCGTTGCGTGTGATGATCAAAACCATAGAGAAGAGAAGGCCGAAAATAAAGGCAGACGATACAGCTATTAGTAACGAAAACTTCGCCGTTCTCGGGTGAGCTGCGCCTAGCTCATTTGACACTCTCACACTGCACATCTTCAACATATCAGATTGGAACAATATTTGATTTTTTAATTATGAAAACAGAGCTTGATGTAACTGAGTTGTGAAATATCAAACCTTACAGCCGCATTCATTCCCATCACCATCATAACCGTCCACCCCAATATGTTCATGCTGCAAAATTTAATATTTGAAGTTATAAGCCATAGTTGGAACGAGTTCAACGGTAAAATTAATCCCTGTGGGCCTGTTCCTACCCAGCTTTGTCAGAAAAATAAGTCCTCACCATACAGACAGGGCATCTACCGAAGTTTTTGCATTCTTCAGATATCCAGCAAAGAGAATTAATGCCATATAATACCACACCTCCAAACTGCAAAAGAAAATAGATCAACATTCTGCATATGCCATTAATTTAAACACAAACCAGCCGAGAAAATTATACATCATATGGCAATTACCAGAGCATTACAGCCGATGCAAGAGATAATCTAACAAATGCCCAAAGATTTTCGAAGGCTTTCCATGAAAGTCCGGACCATGCTTCTCCACAAGTCCCACTAAGTATGTAAGAGAACTGAGACAAAACTATGAACCACCACGTTCCATTTAATACCACGGCTGCACCCACCAGGCCCCATCCTAATTTCAGTATCAGTAACCAGCTAAAGAAAGTGTGAAGCACCAAGGCCATCCCTGCTATCACAGCCATCACCATGATCTTGCTTTGAGCCTGTAGAAACTTGGCTATAGGGAAATTACTTGCGTATGCAAATAGTTGAGGTATCATCCACAACGCAAATACCCCTGCTGCCTTTGATATCTCAGCAGTCTCTCCTATAAGCTCTAAAAGTGGCTCGGCGAATATGTACAAAAACATTAATAATAAAGCTGTAGTGTTTAGAATGATCCATGATCTTTGCATATAAACCCCTAGCATATCCAGCTGCTTTGCTCCAAAGGCTTGCCCGCATAGTGTTTCCAGTGCGCTCCCCATGCCAAGCTGACCATTTACTCAATTTCAGATTTTCATGCATCAAATAATTTGGAAAAAAAAAGTATCTTGAGTGATTAATGTAATGATGGTACCATGATACCGAAGCAGAATCCGGCGATGACGGAGTTTTCAATGGAAACGGCGGCGAGGGCAAGAGAACTAACGTGGCCGGCGAAGACTTGAGTAACGGCGCCAAGCGAATATCGGCAAATGGAGGTGAACATGGCAGGAGCAGCAAGATACCAAAACTTCTTGGACTCTCTCCGGTACTCTCTATAAAAATCACTAAAGCTATTGATGGGAGGGATGTCAGGGACACCTGCGGTGAAGGTAAATGAAGAGGGAGATGATTGATCATGGGTTTCATTGTGGTGTGTTGGAGAGATGAGTGGCTGTTTACTATCTTCCTCCATGAGAAAGCTAGCTAGAGGATGATGCAGAAAAGCTTGGTGATAGCTTTATGTAATGTCACACTTGGATCCACATAGCAATATATGGACAGGTGCTCCTAAAAAGAATAACACAAAAAATTTAATCAAAAGTAACTAGTATTTCTCATTAATGATTAATCAAATCTTAACTACAAGTCAATGTTTATCAGGTAACATAAATTAATGTTATGCAAAGATGATAGCATAACATGTTTCTTAAGAGAAAACAGTTACTAGAATCGCTGGGTAGAATGCGTAAACTCTTATTATTCTGATTTCTGAGTGTACAAAAGAACTCAAATTCAGATTTTTCATACTCCGTAATAGTTCAAACTGTGATAGAACAATATAAAATTATAGCTATAATGGTTTCTGGGGAACCTTACTTACTGTTCTATTCACGAGTGCAATTTCTTTCGTTTATTACCTTTCAATTTATTCTTGAATTCCTTTTGTATCCACATGTTCAATTAATTCAATAGCTTTATTCATTATTTTGCAAGAAGAAACTTGATTTTTTTTTTAATTGTGTTGTTGTAAATTACAAGAATATTAGGGTGTCGATAAGGATTTGAAATTCTTGTAATAGTAACGTTTAGTTTTCATCTCATACAATTATTCTCTGTTCCATTCGAGGTGTGTAATTTTTTTTTTTTTTTTTGTTGATATACCCTGTAATTTGCACTTGAATTCCTTCTGTACCCGCTTGTTAAGTAAATTCATTAGCTTTTTTCCATTGTTTTGTGAAAATAAACTCTATTCCTTAATTGTGTTGCTGTAAATTCCGCAAGAATATTAAGTGTTTATAAGGATTAAATCTTTAATAGAATTTTATCTTGATATTATTTTTTCTACATGTGTTGTAATTTTCAATTCTTCAGCATAAGATTTCAACAAATTTGGAAATTTAATAGATATGACTAGATCAATAGAACGAATTTTTTTAATTGATCTATCCAGCAATTCCTCAACGGAGGATATTCTTTCATTTTTTTTCATATGTGATGCAATTAATTATAATACTAAAGAAAAGGTAAAAAGAAAAAAGATTAATTTCCTCCGCAACAATTTCTTACTTTTTTGTCATTTATGTTATGTTTCAAAGGGCAGTGACCATTCTTGTTTAGACTTTATAATAGAGCTCGATGATTTTAAAGAAGCTCAAAATGAGTTCCTATCCCATACAAAACGTCAAAGAGACATGATAGCTGAAAAAAATGATTTGATAATGAATTCTATTTAAATGGCATCAAACCCATCACGACTACCATGTTGCTAATTACAGTCTTACAAAACATAAATTCATAAATAAAATATATTATAGTCATTAAATTAATAATTCTTAGCCCTAATTTATAGATGCTCCATATTTTTAAGGGGAATGTGATGCTCCTACACTAAATATTCCTAAAGAATTTCAACACAACTTTCATCTTTTTATTATGATGGATGCTCTTAAGATAAAGTCGCTTATCTAAGACCAAAAGGCAATTAACGGGTAGCCTTTGCATTCTGTAAAAGAAAACAGATAAATAATTTCACAGTTTAGGTGTTATCTACCATTCAACCTATTCAAAAAGTTAGATAATAATGGTAGTTCTCAGGTACCAAATTAATGACATTTCTGCATGCATGTGAAAAATTATATATTCATTGGGCAACGTTCAAATTGCGTCTACTGTGATTGCGGACGACAAGCTGACGATGACTAACAGTACATTGTTTGTCGGCGATGCAAGTATCCAAAAACACGAAGTTTACCCTGTGAATGCCCTGTCAAGAATCGGGATCCCGACTTGTTGAGATTAAAATATATCGGTCACAATCAACAATAAAATAATGCCTATTGGTAATAGGATAATTAAAGGTTTATCACCACTTAAATAAGAAATTAATATGAGATGTATTTTGTATGATATTGTAGTATTTGTCGATCATTTTCATACCATCATAGCACATACTATATATTATATATAATGTTACATAATTTTGAAAATTGGATCGAGCCTTAGACTGGTTTTCAGTGTTAATCATTATCGAAGGTAACAACAATTCAATATATTTGAAATCCAATAACTCACCCTTTCAAAATCTCGTATAGTTCCTTAGATGGTACCTGTCGATCTGGGCAAGAAACGCAAAGCAAACAAGAATTTGTCAACCTTCTATCGGGCGAAGTGAAAACCTTAATATACACCTTCCATACTCGATTGCTAGTATATAAGCCACAAGTTTCTCATTTTTCTCAACCCAGGATCATTTCTCTCTTTCTCTCATCTTTCAAACTCTCAACCCCGCCTCCACCACTGGTTCACCAACACCAACCAACTATATGCTGTTAGTCTTTGTCATATCATTTCTTGCCTTCTTGGTATGAGCGCATTATATATCTAATATTATTATATTAATGTTACATGAAATTACATCAACAATATAATAACATAGTTATCTTAATTTATATTCATTTGTTTTTTTAAATTTCATAAATTTGATTACTTAAATTGTTTAATACATGTAATTATAAACTATATTATACTTAATAAGACATATGTGTCATTTATATTCATTTGTTTTTTAAATTTTCATAATTTGATTACTTAAAATTGTATAATACATGAATTATAAACTAATTATACTTAATAAAAGACAATGTGTCAAAAAACTAATTTTAAGATGTTATACTATATGAAAACAAAAATTTAATACTTATAATCAGGTATCAATTAGACTTGTATATCAGATGTATTAATAAACATATGTATAACTTTTGAATATAGAATAATCAATGCAACCTCGAGTAATTACTGAAGTTTCAATAATTTCATGTCAAATCAACCGTCCAACAAATGAAGGTGGTACTAGAATTTAATTTTCAAGAGGGCTACAAACTAGATCTGATAAAACGGGTATTGTACCCCATGGTCTATCCGTACCTATTGTAGTTTTAATGGGTACAGGTTATGTATTTAGAACTATGGGAATAGTACCTGTACTCGGCCGCCATTACTTGTACAAGTGAATCGGATGATACTCCGCGGTACAGCACAAAATAACAAAAATAGCAAAAATCAATTAGGAGGAGTTTGGTGTGGAGGTAAGAAAGATTACTAGAGTTATGTCATCTTTATTATTTGATTACTATGTTTAGTTGTAAAGTAATATAGATTCCAGTAATCTGCATTACCAATAGTTGTTACTGTTGTAATTGAAGGTAATCTGATTAGCTCCATTTTTATTTAAGATGACACATGTGAATCTTTTTTTGTTATTATCCTTATTATAAAATTTTGAAAATGATGCTCTGTTTTAAAATAAATTTACATTAATATACCATTTCAATTTACCCTTGTTTATAACTTGGACAAATGCCCTTATTTAAATAAATTATAGCCCACTACTGCCACCTAGCCACCACTGCCGCAACGAGCCAACCACCACGGACCGCGTGGAAAGTTGTCAAAGTCCCTAAAAATGATGAGATTTGCTAGGAGGCTTCAATATGGTCGTTTTCGGCCATATTAGACTAGATCTGGCCGGAAAGGCTAGATTTTCTAGCCAGATCTAGCTGTAACGGCTAAATCCCTGGCCATTAGCACCGTTAACGACCATGGACCTGGTCGTTAGCGACCAGATCTCGCCTAAATCTAGCCGGAAATTGCCAGAATAGATCTGGCCAGATATGGCCGTTTTGGCTATCAATATGGCCAGAACGGCCTATCGGAGCCTTGTGGTCACGCGTGAGCTACTCACGGGACTTTTAGAGACTTCCAACGGTGGGGCAGGGGGTGGAAGTGATTTTGTCATAAATTAAAGTTTTATATAAGTGGGGGTGTTTTAGCTAAATCTGAATATTAGGGTTAAAAAACTATTCAAAAATATAATAAAAATAATATATTAATTTTTAAAAAGAGTGCAATTTAGTAATTTAAATAACATACCCACAATTATTCGCTACCCAAACATATTAATATAACATGCCCACCAACTAACCAACACATTTTCTTAAGATTCCCAGTAATCTTCAAGGTAATATAGATTCCAGTAATCCATCATTCCTGAACCAAACACACCCTTAGGGTTATGTTTCTCCAATCTCATTCATTATATATCCCGCCACCGCCCTCTCTAAAGTGGCTCGGCGAATATGTACAAAACATTAATAATAAAGCTGTAGTGTTTAGAATGATCCATGATCTTTGCATTAAACCCTAGCATATCCAGCTGCTTTGCTCCAAAGGCTTGCCCGCATAGTGTTTCCAGTGCGCTCCCCAGCCAGCTGACCATTTACTCAATTTCAGATTTTCATGCATCAAATAATTTGGAAAAAAAAAAAAAGTCTTCGAGTGATTAATGTAATGATTGTACCATGATACCGAAGCAGAATCCGGCGATGACGGAGTTTTCAATGGAAACGGCGGCGAGGGCAAGAACTAACGTGGCCGGCGAAGACTTGAGTAACGGCGCCAAGCGAATATCGGCAAATGGAGTGAACATGGCAGGAGCAGCAAGATCCAAAACTTCGGACTCTCCCTGTACTCTCTATAAAAATCACTAAGCTATTGATGGGAGGGATGTCAGGGACACCTGCGGTGAAGGTAAATGAAGAGGGAGATGATTGATCATGGGTTTCATTTGTGGTGTGTTGGAGAGATGAGTGGCTGTTTACTATCTTCCTCCGAGAAAGCTAGCTAGAGGATGATGCAGAAAAGCTTGGTGATAGCTTTATGTAATGTCACACTTGGATCCACATAGCAATATATGGACAGGTGCTCCTAAAAAGAATAACACAAAAATTAAGCAAAGTAACTAGTATTTCTCATTAATGATTAATCAAATCTTAACTACAAGTCAATGTTTATCAGGTAACATAAATTAATGTTATGCAAAGATGATAGCATAACATGTTTCTTAAGAGAAAACAGTTACTAGAATCGCTGGGTAGAATGCGTAAACTCTTATTATTCTGATTTCTGAGTGTACAAATACTCAAATCTCGATTTTTAATACTCCGTATATAGTTCAAACTGTATAGGAACAATAATCAATTATAGCTATAATGGTTTCTGGGGAACCT